AACTGGGGAGCTGGTCTCTGATTTCAACTTGTTGAAGAAATCAAATATGGGATTGAAGGAGTCTATCCCAACACCCATGGTAAGGAAACAAAGGGGGCGGACATCTGGCACGGGCACCTCCCGTTACTAACTGTTGGCCGCATCGCTTTTGTGGCACAATCGGAGACCCAAAGTTTTGCCAAACAACAGTTGGGTATAATTGTCAATCAGAAACGGGCCCTGTGCGGTACTCATCATAAGCATGTCCAACCATGCTTGGTACTCCAAGCAACTCAATTCACTCGCAGAGTGCGGGGGAGCTTTTTGGCAACCTCTTTTGGTCCGCTTGTAAAGCCAACCACACGTAATTAATCTCTTCGCTTCTCAACTCCCCATGTAGGCCACGGTCATGCTTCCCTTAGCGGAGATCCTTAGATTGGTTGATTCCCGATTCCGAAGTGTCCACGACCACCCTACGACTTGAAAGGGAAGCCAACTGAAAATTCAGCGCGAATTCAAGTTTCTCGACCCCCTGAAATTTCCATTGCTTTCCCTTTAACGCCACAAAGGGGTCCACCAGTTTAAGAACCCCTGATATTTGGGTCTGTGCCAGGGCAACCATAAATGGATGTCGGTTTCCCTTTTGCTTTCCCCTGAAACTACTTGGAAAAGGAGGAGCCACACACCCATTTGGGTTTGTCTCAAAATAGGGGTGCCGCAAAAATCATGTTGGCTTCGCTTTGGTTTCCCTTCTCAACAGAGGTGCCCGACAACAAATGAAGCAACCCTTTTGATAGCAGCTCAAAAAAACAAACCACACATCAAATGAGTCGAGCGGCTCCCCAGATTCTGTGGCGCAATGTCCTTGACGCTTTCCAGCCACGCAGTGGTCCAGGGCGCGTCTGCGTACCTTTCGACGCTTCTCGTTGGGAGGGTCAGGTCTTGGACTCGGGTTGCTCCCCAGGTTCTAAGAACCCATTAGAAGGGACATGGTTTCTTGGAGAGCTCCCCTATGCTGGGCCCACAAAACTGTGGTTGAAACAAAAAGAACAATTCATATTTTCTGACTCTGACCTTAGTCAACCTGCTCTATATAGAATCATTTTGGAGGAGATCCCAGCATGGGTCTGATCACCCATCGCTCTCTTCAGAAACCAAGTTTGCCAGAGCTCCCTGTCTTGGCCCAAATCTGGACAGAACATAATATGTTCATCAGCTTCCTTCCAAGTGGTGGTTTTGGATTTGAGGTTTGTTGTTAGGCCTCAACAAGAACCAGGTTTTCAAATCCGCAAACCTCCCTTTTGATGGCGTGGACAGTGCCCTGTATTCCATCAAACCTGGGTGCAGCTACCCTCAAAAGTAATGTCTCTTGAAGAAAAGAGATCCATCGCAAAAGGAGCCACGGGAAGTGTTTGACCTTCAATGATCCCCTTAATAGTCATTGTTGGTCACTAATCGTCACTATCAGGCTGCAATAGCTTCCCTTGATATGGCTGTGAATCAGTATAGGACTCGGTTGATTGGATGCCTTTTGAGCAAACGAAACAAGCTTTGCTCCGGCCAAGGCACCAGAATTCCAAAGAAATGTGATAGTACCGCGGCGCCCCGCATCCTGTGTCGCAAAGAACCAACTGCAGGGGAACAGGGTCTCTTATTCTCTGGGTGCCATGTTGGGGTTGTTAAAGGGGAAACCAAATGGGAAGCATGCAACTTTGGAGTCCTCCGATTCCGTCTGATGTAGTTGTCTCATTCGGCTCTGAATCGCTCTTTGACAATGAGAAACGGTTCGAAACTGCGTAAGCAGCTGCAGCACTCAAGAGCCGATGTGGTGCGTGCGACATGGCCTGGTAGCTGTGCTTGTAGTGCTGGTATATTTGGCACAGGATCTTTAATTCATAGGTTATGAGCTTAACACGACCCATTTGCAGATGAGCCTTAATCAAAAAACCGGGTAGATGAAGGTTAGTAAGGGGCAGTCCCAGCCAGAAATAGTTGCGGCCGCCTTCTTAACTCTTTACATGGTTCTGGGTAGACCATTTTAATACCAGGTTTTGATTTTTGAGCGACGGCGTGGTTTGCACGCGATGCAAACTGCGTTGAGCTGCAGCGGGGCTGCAGAGTGAGCTGCTGCCCGTAAGCGCCGGTTGTGTCGGCGCGTGCCCCCATGGTAGCTGTGCATGTAGCTATGCTTGGGTGGGGTGAGAGGATCTTGACTCGTAGAAGCAAAAGCCGCCGAAAGCAGGCATCCTGTTGCGAACACACAAACAAATGTCCAGTGTGTATTTCCTTTCATGAAAACAAGAGCAAGACGACCATGAAAGTAAATAGCAGAAACAACCGCTGGAGCCGGGTCTTCCAAAAACTAAGTCCTCCAGTGATCTCGTTGGTCACGGGGTTGTGCTCGCAGCCCGCCAGCTTGTAGACCTGGATGATGCTGGTACTGCCTATGCCGCTCGATGTGTTGTAGCCCAGCATCTCCTGAAAGAGAGTAGCCAGAGATCCCGACATTTTCACTGCCTGAAGGTATGATATGGGTCACGTGAGTCGTAATCAAACCCGGAACCCAAGGGTTCTGTGCAGATTTGGCAAATCAAGCCGGATATCTGCAGATATGGAGGCTGCCCCTAAACTTGAGCTACTCGAATGGATTTTGGGGAAGCAGCTCAAGCGACCAGGTACGGCCCCTCCTCTGCGATAATCTTGAAGATCTTGGACACAATCCTGAACGTCGCATGCAGCGGCATGCGGCATCCAGCAAAGCCGGACGCTCCGGGGAGTCCCCCAAAGAGCATTCCGTCAGACAAGACGCTTTGTTGGAGTTCCATGTTCATCCGCAGTCTATCTTCCGTGTCGGGTCTCAAGTGAGCCGGAAACAATCAAGAAAACCAAGCCGCTGCCTGGGAAGCACGCCTGGTCCCAAAGCTCGAGTAACCGGTGGAGCGATGAAGAGCTGTCAAAAAAGATCTCTCTCTCTCTCTCTCTCTCAAAATATTGCATGGGCCAAGAAGTTGTAAAGAACTTGTTGATGTCACATTATCAGGAAGGCAGCACAAAAGAGTAGAGGCTGTGCCCGACTGCCAAGTGCGTGGCCTGCAGGAGTTACAGCGAAATCGTCCGCTTCCATTGCCCAATTCGTTTCCTTGTCGGCAAAATGGTCTACTGATATATATATATATATATGTATGAAAATCGATCGAAACCGAAGCCAGTTGAAAGCCCAACGATTCCAACGATGTTCAACCAACACCCGAAAAAGGACAGTTTGATGCCTCCCTTGTTCCAGGGTCTAGATCAATCCAAAGTTAACAGGGGCAGGGGGGGGAGCAAAACTCATAGGTAAAAAGAAAAGGTGTTCCCGGAAAAGCGACGGCAACAACCTCCCTTGGTTTAACGCAGCCCCTGGCTGATCTGTCGATCTGTCTGCCATGTCTCAAGGCTGAACTCCAGCTGCTCTCCCAAATTCCCAGAGGCATGGAAATGCCATCCATGACCACCTCGGGCTCCACCCCAAGCCCAAAAATGTGATCTCCTTTCGTTTTCCTTGCGGATTTGGAGGTTTCTTTTTAAGGTTTCCCTGTGTGGGGGTGTGACAAAAGAAATGGGGGCTTGGACCCCGAGTCCTTCTCTAAAGGGATTCCCTCGAACAACACACAGCCGAAGAGATCAAACTACGCTTCCCCGCGAGCACATGGGACAGTTAGAGAGTAAAGCTCGTCAATGGAGTTCATCAAACATGACCGGACATCTCGACTGAGTTGCAAAACTTTTTGGGCCAGACCCCATTCATCCGATTCGTTTGTATATAAAGGGAAACAAAGGGTGTTTAAGAATAAGCCCATGTGGTGTCGCCAATAGCAACCTTTGCACCCTTCCGGAACTTTTCCGGAATCTAAGCTCATACTCACTTCGAGTTACTTAAGAACTGTTCAGCTGTTGGGGCAAATCATGGTTTAAAGTTGAAATATGCTTGAACAAGGGATGCCCAAGCGGCCAATTTCCAAACTCTGACCAATTCGGACTTCGGGCAGAATCCACGCAAACAAGCCTTTGGCCTCCCGCCAAGGGGGCACGGCCACATGCGCCTTTCCTGCTCGCCCACAAACCTCCGCCTTTTTGGGACGGCTGAAACTGGTCCCAAAAAAGGGAGCCCCTGCAAAGACATGTAAGAAAAGGAAACTCCCTAGATAGCCAAGTTGCTGCTTTTTTCAGTCACTGTTGCTGGTTTTTGGGGTAAAGTGGATGGAAGAAAGCGATCGCAACTGGCGATCCAGGCCACTTTTCTGCCCGGGTTTGAGGGGAAACCCCAGGCCCTTTGTTGACCCCGCAAGAAAAAGAAGAAAAAAAAGGAAGAACTCGGCCGCGCTGCATTCCTTCGGTCCGCCGCAGGAATGGCCTCCGGCAGGCACGTCTGCGCGGCCACCGCGGTGGCCACGAGCACAGCGCGCCACATAGCTAAGGCCGGAGCTGGGGACGCATGTGATGGTTTCACTAAAGCTACCAAAAAAGCAAAAAACCAAAAACATGGGCGCCTCAAATTATGGAAGGCAAGTTATGGGAGGTCATTTCCCCGGGTCGCAAAGTGACTTGGGCTATTGCCTCAAAGTTCTGGTTGTAAGTTCCCCCGTTTTAGGGTCTGAGGGTCGGATCTCGGTAGATCTGGGGCCGATGGCCCGTGAAACCCGTGGCCAGAGATGCGTACGCTACGCGTATGGTGGGGCGATGCCCTTCGCTGAGCCACGGCCTCGGCACCGGAAACCTGGAAAATGGGCAACCGCCACCGAGTAATCTTCAAACTCATCGGGGGAAAAAAAGGTTGGAACCTCGGACTCCCCTACGTCGCTTTGGAGCGGGCCACTAGTCCCCCTGCACATGACAACAGCCAGTTCCCCCCCCCCACCCCCTCTCCCCCTCCCCAAAGCCCCTGCGTCGCTTTGGAGCGGGCTACTAGCCCGGTTTGCCCCAATTTCCCGCAACCGTGTTGCGACCGAAGACACGCGTTTTTGCGTGACCCCAAACCCCACCTCCAGGGCGGCGGCCAAGCGCTCCTGGACGGCTGAGCAAGATGACGCCAGCCAAAAGGCAACACGCACCCAACCGCACACACACACACACACGTACACACATACATAATATATATATATATATATATATATGTGTGTATTATGACATATATATATATACTACACCAGGGCACAAGTAGATGGCACAATGCTCTATGTTTGGGTAAGTGAATGAAATGACTAAACCCAAATGCAGGCATTGTGCCATCGACTTTCACGCAACTGTATGCTCAAACGTGCACACATATGTGTATATTCAAATGCACCCACATATGTGTATGTGTAAATGAAGACATCATATATATATATATAATTGCCGCAATACCAGCAAACCGGACACGTTCACCCCAAAAGGAGTCCTCCTGTTCCCTACACTCAGAACAAAAAAGAAAAAACACCTGCACTTCAAACGATGGGTCCGGCGCCACCTAGAAAGGCTTGACCTTTTACAAACCCTGCCAAAGCTGACTTCACAGCTGGGTTATGGGTTGCACTAGTCTGCTTATACTCAACTTGCACGCGAGCTTGCTCACCAAAGTTGCACCAGCTTGCGCACTTTGACCAGATGCAACACATACCCAACACAACAAAGTCGTGATTTGTGAGCCATAGTTCCACCTCGGAAATGCTACAAAGAGCAAAATCGAATCTAAGCTTGGAGTGACTTTCCCTTTCCATCTCTTCCCTGTCCCCTCTCTCCTTGCTCCTCTTCTTTCCTCCCCTTGTCTTGTCTTTGCTCTCTGTTCTTCCCCTTTCCCCTTTCTTTCTACTGCTCTCTTTCCCTTTCCTTTTCCTTCTCCTGAAGCAACAAAAGTTGGTTGCCAAATGAAGAACATTATTTTGTGTGGGAAAAACCTGGCTTTGGTAATTTCTGATTGCATCAGGGTATTTGCGGTGTTGGTACGGACATGTACGGGTTGCTTAGGTGTTTACGAGTTTTTTACCGGTCCCAATTCGCAGAAACCGCTTCTTTCTGTCAGAACCAACGTGTTTGTTTTCTCCGGGGGAGGGGGGGGGCAACAAACAGCTGCTTGAGGTATTTTCCCTCCTCATCTCACAACACTCCTTGTCTGCCACATCAGTGACTAGCCACAAAATGAACATGGTCTGAAGACTTGTGGATCCCCCGCGCATTGAAGTGTAGTCCCTAGTACGACATGACATGTTTAGCACGTTCATGAAATCGTCACAATGATACCTTGTAGTATGTCGAACCACTTGAAGACGAAGAACAACCTGGCAGGCACGCAACGTGTTTCGGTGGCCCGCCCCGTTTCAAAGTGTGCCATGTTGTTTGTATGCGTTGAGTTTAGCCCGCGCTCTTAAACTTCGCAAATGGAAACTCGCAACTCAAAGTTGCCCAGGCGAGCTTATACGTAGGAGTAAGAGTTAGTCGCTACAGGAATTTAGATAGGCACATAAGGATTTCCACTAGAACAACCAAACCTTACAACCAACCTTTACCCTCCCTCCCACTAACATGACACCTGACAGGAAATGGATCTTCAAGGTGCCCTCCCAGCTATGTCAGTGGGAGGAAGGGCACCCCTCATTCACCCCTTCGTACTTTTGGGTTCTCGCGGCTGCTCGGCGGCGTCGGTACCTGTCCTCCAAGTGCACCGCGCGCTCAGAGTTGAGACCTCCCACTAGGTCGCACTTGTTCCTGGCAACTCAACGCAAAAATCGCGACTGAGCAGCCCCAGCACTTGTCAAGGGGGGGGGGGTCCTTCTTGGAGGAGTCCTTGGCCTTTGAGAAGCTCAAGAGAGAGCATTCCATCGAAAGGTACGTCAACACAGCCACCAACTGTCCACCCACTTGCGATTGCATCACTAGGTGGATTTTGACGGCAGAGTCAACCTCTGCCTGTATCAGTACTGTGTTGAGTGCTGCACCGAATCCATACAGGATCCGAACATTGCAGTTCAACACGGGTGTCGCGATGTGTGTGGTTGAAATTGAGTGCCCCCCTCCTATGTCCCCCGCGGATATCTTGATCGAACCTCACATGGGCTTGTCTCCAAATGAACGTATGGAATTGAAAAGCTTCCCTTTAAATTCAAGCAACTCCAAAAGGGTATCCTAAGAAAGACATTTCTTCACCCAAGCTGCTGTCAGCACACGGCCAGAAAATGGGTAAAGTCTGGGCAAAACCAGTGCGTGGCATATCCTCAACAACAAAAACACTGAACACTGGCATGTTGAGACTTCTTTTTTGTTTGCGCCCCGTGCGCGCTGAGAACCGCTCGGCTCGTCTTCCGCTCACTCCGGCTTTCGAAATGTCGCAACCCCGGCGAAGAATCGCGCCCGGCAGTGCAGCAGCAGCAAGTCGCACTGCCTGTGACGCCGAGATGTGGGGGCCCCAAACGGGGTACCTGAGCCCTGCACACACGGAAGTGGGTTCTCGGGTTCCCCAAAAGGGACTTCTGGTCTTCTGGCGTGGGTCAGCTTCCTTCGAGAAACACAAATCATCAAACATTGCTCGAAATTGGTCATGCTCCCTGCTCCTTGGTTTCCGGCCATGGAAGCCAGTAGGTTACTGCTTGACTTTCGCAGGCCTTAGGACGCCTCACAACTCGATTCTTGCTGGTGCGAGAGATGCAGGGAATGAGAAATGGTTGCTGACCCCGAGATAAACCATCCAACTGGTGGTTTCCTTTATTCGGGATTCCCAAAACGGTTCATTCCCATATTCCCCACTGAGCACCAGCAAGCATTATTCGCCCTCTTGATTTTCTTGAGGCTGCTGGCTATGTAAGTCATTTTTCAGGAATCGTTGAAAACTCATCTCAGCAGTCAACACACATGAAGCACATGTGCGGATTAATGCTCATCTCATGTAGCATCTATCTATCTGTCTGCCTGTCAATCTACCTTATCTACCTATCTACTTATTTACCTATCTACCTATGTACCCATACATCTATGCGTTCGACCCCATTTACACTACCCATCCATCTGTCCATCTACCGTTCTCATGTACCTATCTCCGACTGTCTCTGCCTCTCTTTGTCTCTGTCTCCGTCTCTGTCCATCTGCAAAGTAATCTAACCTCGCAAGTGATCCATGCCAAAGAAAACGGCATGCATCGGAGACACAGCAGAACTCATTATCTCCAGACGCTGCGCGGCGCAAACGCGTTTAGCAGTGCTTATGTACTGCTCAAAGTGTGGAAGTTACATGAACAACTTACTGCCTTGAAATACACTTGTACTTCTGATATTGACTCTGCCTTCTAGCAGCGTGGTAGAACCGCAAACTGACAACACCCACACACGCACACACTCCCGAGAACACTTCCAGCGGTACAAACATGGGCTCGCTGACGCCGTACGCACGCAACTGTTGCCAAGCAGCTTGTGGTTGTCCCTTCTGCCTGTTACGCAGTCTCTTGTCCGCATTGCCTCATCTTCTTTTGTGCCATGACTCTTTGCAAAAGAATGGCTTGGACCAACAAACAGGGAGAAGCTGAGTTGCGCCGAGCATTAACTTGTAGCAGCTGAGTCACAATCAAAGCCTAGCAAAATGAAGGGTGTATGGGGACGGTCTCGTCGCAGAAGTGAGTGCGCACAGCCAACACCGCCCTGTTGGTTCTTTATCATGCTGTTGGACCCAAACCAATCGTTTTGCAAGGTTACAAGTCTGACTCATTTGGGTTGTTGCCAAAGTGGATTTGCTTGTGTTCCTTTGTTTGCTCTTTGTTTTCCAACCTCACAACACCTGCCCCACAGCGGGTGAGCTGGCTATTGACGTCCCCAAAACTCCGCAAGTGTACTTGCACGCTCTCCACTTTTAAGCCCAGTTTGCCATACCTTCCCAAAGGAAGCCTGCACTTTTAGCCCGTTTTCCAGACATGGTCCCAAGATTCGGTCAAAGGGACCTGCCAACTTGAGGGACATATCTTGCGCAGCCGAAAGCCCGGCCTCAACTGGCGTGATGCTGTCTCCTGAAGGCCCAAAGCCTGCCAGATAGCTCTGTAAGGCGAGAGACTTGATCTAATGTTGGGGGCAACTGGTCTGCCCTGTCTGGGATTTTAAGTACCGGCTCCCCTAATGTCCATAGCGGCTTCGCTTCAAAATCGGAGGCCCCGTTCGGTGTTGCTTTAGAGGGAAGCCAAAACGACGCGATTCAAATTGTGGGGGGGTGGGGGGGTACCCTATCTGAAGAGCCTAGGATGAGCAAATGGTAGCTTCACTTGCTTGTGCTCTCCGTTTTGCGAGAAAGCAAGAGGGCAGACCTAACCAAATCATGCGCATGAAAGCTAAAACCCAACAGAAATCCATTCACTGGGAAATGGGGGGTCTCCAAAACCTTGGCTCTTTTAAACTACACCAATAAGGAGTGTCTTGTCTTTGTTGCGGGTAAACCCTGTTGGTCGGCTTTAAAGGAAAACCCAAGGGAAACACTTCTTCCTTTGGGGGGGAGGTCGCCGGAAAGACAAGCCCATATGAATCTGAGAATATTATTGTTGTACCCAGACGTTGGCCAAGTTATGGGGAAGCCCAGGCGACCCGCCCCCCAAACAAAAGAGCAGAAGAAGAAGAAGAAGAAGAAGAAGAAAAAAAAAGGAAGCACCTACCACCCCACTCCCAATGAAGAAAACGGAGTGCAAAGGGCTGTCATTTTTTCCGCAGAGGTTCGGCGACCGAATGGCTCCCCGCTCGCCTTGGCAGTCTCCGGCATGTCAGTGTAGTCACTGGCGTCCACCACCGTGACAACCTCAACTGGTATTGTTGGATCAAAGCCTGAATACGCGGGTGCGGGTCAAAATTAAACCAACAAAGCACTACAGGTTTTAGTCCATGTTTCCATTTACAAGGGTGCCATTTTGGGTACCTTTTTTTGACCCACAGCCACGTTCCTTTCCAGCCAATGGTGAACATCATTGTCTGAAAACTGTGGGGTGGGTATTTGGAGTAGGTGTGTCGTTTTCCGTTCACCCTCTTTCTAACAAAGGAAGTGCACAGTGGTCCTGCTCAAGAGCTCGCTAGTCTTTCAAAACCACCCCGTCCACTATGTTGGAAAAAGGGGTGTATCAGGTGTATCCTCAAAATGGGGTCCTTGCACCCCGTTTGGCAGGGTCCCCTTGGCTGGGGCGGTTCTCCATCCAAGTGGCAACACCATGTTTTGGAGCCCAAAACTGAGTTTGCTGTGGTGTCCTGGAGCCGCCCCCATGCCCAATTTTGTGTTTCAGCAAAAAGGCCCAACAGCTGAAAGCTTTGGGGTCTCAGCCCAGATAGGCTCCGGGGTGGTCCGGGGCGGCCCTGAGGTAAGGTTCCACCAGGGTTGCACCAGGGTTCCACCAGGGTTCCGCCAGGGTCCCACTAGGGCCGCCTAGGGCCACCAGGGTTCACATGCTGTTGGGGATATCACCTGAGCTTATTTTGTTGTTTGTTTTGTTTTGCTTGTGCAGATATGCTGTGCTTCGTTATGGTTGTGTTTTTTAGCAGCTTGAAGTGTCCAGCATTCCGGCTTCGCAAGCCGCAGCAGCAGCAGCAGCAGCAGCAGCAGCAGCAGCAGCAGCAGCAGCAGCAGCAGCAGCGACAACACTGTCTAAACATAAGCAAAGAGCAAGCAGCAACTCAGCCAGCAGCCGAGCTACAGCGAAACAAGGTGGGGGCTGACGCCAGTTGTAGAAAAAACGCGGCCTGCAAAGCATTCCTTTTAATCCCCTGTGCTCCCAACCCCAAAATTTTAAACGCATGCCCCCCATCCCTGGCAAGCAGCACACCCACCGCAATGGACTCCATGGGCTTCCCTTCAATCTCCCGCGCCCACCCGAAGTCCTTTCGCTCCGGGAGCCCCACGGAGTCGAGATGCACCGAAACGGCCTGCACGCTGGTGCTTCTCAGCAAGGAATCAGGAGGAGTTTTGGGCAACCTGGGGATCCACACGGAAACTACCAGTTTTATCGTTCAGTCTGAGGTTCCCGCATTCCCTGAGAAGAAAGAGAAGGACTCTTCAGAGTCGTTGGAGTATCGGTGATGGCCTTCCCCCCCCCCGGCCACATCTTCCAGTTGCTGCAAAGTGGTCAGCACTGGCGCTGGGTCGCACAACCCGCTGGTCTCGATCACCAAGAGGTCCTTGGCCGTGCCGGCGTTTTCGCCGGGACTGATGTCCGAATGGGGCCCAGAACCCCCGGTTCATGCCGCGGGACCCTTTTATGAAGCATCCCTAGCAAACAACGAAGAAACTTAAACGCGCAAAAATGCCCAGGGCTTGCACAAACTCCTTTTGAACCAACCTCACAGGTGTAACCCCAAGAAAAATCTGCCAACATGGGGGAAGTGTTGGTTTAGATGTTTAAAGCGGGAAGCGGAGAAAAGCACTTGGATGGAGGTTCGGTAATTTGAAGACACACATGGCAAAATACGCGGACCTTTTGCTTTCCCTTCTTGTAACCCCCCCAAAAAAAAGACACACCCACATCTATATTTTGGCTCATTCTGTGCATCCAAAGCCCCACATCATGGGCCGTGGCTGATTGAAGAAGGAATCACGATGCAATGCTGGATGTCTCATACGCCCCTTAGATTAGGGACCTGGAAATAAACAGCTAAACAACCTTTTGGGACCTTGACTATGGGCCTAAATTGGAAAACCAAGAGGTCAAAAGCTCGATTCGCTTTGGGCAGAGCAATCCATGGTTGGACAGTGGCACACGTGGCAGTTCCTGCGCGGTGGACAGGATTTCCCTTTGCATGCCTGAAATCCTGAAGGGGGGGGGCCGCTTGCGGGTTCATCTCCAGAAACACCCAGAATGGTGGCGCCTCTCTGGTTTCTCCCTTAAAACAGGCTGAAAGAGTGCCCTCAAAGGTCAGCTGGCAATTCAGAGTCCTGTGGGCATCCGGCGTTCCCGAAGCATGCGAAACGCTGATGTTTTCCATCAGCAACTTGCTGCAAAGAAGCTCACGTGGATGAGTTAAATGAGTTTGTCCAGCCACCCAATCTGCGGGCAGCCGACAAACAGCGAGCAATCGCCTGAGGCCTGTGAAACCGCCCAAACAAATCCAGGCAGGCCGGACTCGGGCCGCCCAAAACGCTCCCTGACCATCCCCAAGCATCCAACAAACCTCTACACTTAACAGACCTCACCTGAGCAGCGCCCAAACCCGATTGAATTTTAACTTTTTATAGGCCTTACTATACCCACCAGAACATCAGAGCAAACATGGCCATTGGGAAGTGGTTTTGAGCGCTGCTCACCTGTACCGGATACCAAAACTTGCACTGGCGTCACTCGCTCAGAGGCGGCTGTCTGCTTCAGGTCAACGTTGCTAGGTCCTGTCCAAGGTGAGGTCTAATCAAAGGCTCGTCCAATTACGTTTTTTTGGCATGAAGCCAACTTGTTTTTGGATTTACCGTTACTGCTGCTATTTGGGGTTCTTTGGGGTTACTTGGGGCTGTTTCGTACTATTTGGGGGTGGGGGGTAAGGTTTCGGGGCTACCCCTTCTGCTTACCAGCACCGCGGCGGTCCTGTTTCAGTTGAGCACAAAGATCATTGAGGCAACCGATGTCAGCTTGCCAGAAGCCTTGTGCTCCAAATTGCGACGTCGCTTGGATCTGTGTCAGGGGTCCCAGCGATCTATTCTTCGTGTAATATAATGATTCAAAGCCATAACAAGCGAGCCACAGCAACCGAATGGTGACAATCGGTCACTTTTATGCAGGGCCCATTGAGGTCCATTAAGGGTCAACACGTGTGTCCTGCTACGGCTTGAATTTTCATTAAATTTACCGTACCCTTTTGCCGTTATTGTGAAGGCAAACTAAATGCGGCTTCTCCGATTTGGAGATCCCCTTCTCCCAACGAAGGATCTGATTGAACCGTCCTCTTGGCCTCCGGCCTCCTTCCCACTGTGATTCTTGACAGCTTAAACTTTTCAGTGTACCCTAGCAGGAAAGAAACACACACACACACTATGCCTACTGCTTACCGTCAAAACAAAAACATCATATTGCTCAACGCATTTCAGAAAAAAAAAGCAGAAAAAACGGGAAACAATGAAAAAACTATTTTACACACGTCAGGCGGCTCTCCCGGCAGGTGGTGAGAAAGATGCGTCCGGGGTCCATCAATGTGGCATCCTGCACCTTCGTCCGCACCTCCTGGCGGAAAAAGATCCCGGTACAAAGCCTTCCAGTTTGAGAGCAAACCCATCTGGCTGTGGCCCAAAAAGTCGGTACCAAAATGGATTGCCCTGGTAAGTGGAAACATGGACCAAAACCTGCGTAACCCCTCCTGGTTGATTTTGAGCCACGCCCATCTGCGGACCGGCGCGGAACTCAGCCACTTGCTGGGGAAATCCAGGGAAATCCGTTGAGCAAACCCCAAGGAGGACTTTCAGAGAAATCAATGGGTTTAATATGGGTGGGGTCCCATTTGAGCCAAACCCCAAGGACGTACAAGAATTAGTTGCCCCCTTTGGCTAACTTCAAGAGTCGGAACCTCCCGCAGTGATGGACATAATGTAAATCGGGACCCACCGAATCCTGAAGTCCAATTGGTTGCGTCGGATCATCGAGCCAACGGCGGTCTCCACTTCTTGCCAGTCTTCAGCCAGGGCAAAAACCGCCATCGAAAACAAAAGGCAGGCAGAAAGAAATGGACTCAAATTTGTGTGTTGGCTCAAAAACACAACTAAAATTTGAGTCAAATTTGTTGAGCAGATTACATCCATGACTCAAATGTTGAGTCAAAGTCTACCCAAAACTCATGGCGAAGAATGCTTCAAGGGCGTAAACTGACCGCACCCGTGGCTCAAAGGATTCCACCCCAAGATTCCGCGGATAAAGAATGCTTCGAGGGCTGCTCACACCCATTTCCGGCAAGGGGAGACAACCCTGCGAGGAATTAGGCACCTCATGAGGGGTGGGAACCGTTTCACAACACAGCGGAAACTCAAAAAGATTGATAAACTAAAACACCAAACGGAACACACCCCGACAGATACGGCAGGTCATGCGTCTGGCGGTTTGTTTGCTTTTGTTCTTTCTGTTTTTGGTTTTCTCGACGGTTTCTGCCCTTGTCCCGCAAAAAAAAAAACGAAACACGCGAGAAAACCCAAACAACACACCCCCAACAGATACCTGAGGTCACGGGTCTTGCATTTGCTTGGCTTCTCGGGCCTTTTCGCAGTCCCCAAAAAATGGTACACCGACCTCGAGAAAAAAACAAAAACCACATGGCAAACCCCACGGCCCCACAAGCTCGCGCCCTCAGCACTTTGGGCCTGGAGTCGTGTTTTTTGTTTCACCATAGGTGTCCTTTTAGGGGAAATAGATGGCCCTGGTAGATGATTACACCACCAGGTAAACCAGGAATCGCCATCTATTTTTCGAGCAAAACAACCAAAAAGGACACCCATGATTGTTTCTTCTTGGTTTTCTGGAGCTGCGGTTGGGGTCAGCAAGACCTTTCCCTGCAAGAAGGGCACATCTGCCATCGCAGTCTAGGCATTTCACCTGCTAACCGCAGCCGAATTCTCTTCAGATTCACTAGAAGAAACAGCCAGCTTGTCTTTCTTGTCTTTCCTTACCAGATTCTATCTGGATGATACATAAATTCCAATTGAACCCTAGATAAAGATACTTGCGAAGAATATACGATTCAAATTCTGATTCAAACTAATAATCATAATTTGGCTATATAAACTATAATGAAACTCTAACTAAGTTCCAGCCAACTTCTTCAAATCAAAGTCCTATTCGGAAGAAATCAATTCCTATTTAGAATTGGAAGAAAAATATGTTTACCGTATACTTCAAAATAAAGCATGAAATAGTTCAAGTATAGTTGAACTCATAATTGGGCAAGATCCTATTTAACATCTAAACTAAATTCAAAGTCATATTTAACTTCTAAGTACAATCCCACTTGCAAGGGAAGTGCTAATTAATATGTAATTCCAAAATGAATTCTAATCGAAAACCAATTTAGATGTGAAGCCTAACCTTGCAAACAAGTTGGAATGAAACGTGTATTCATCCATGGGTGTTTACAGTGTTTTCTTCCGCGCCTTTTCACGGGCTTGCAAATCAAAAGAAACAACAAGCTTCTCTTTCCTTGCTAGATTCTATTTAGCACCCCAGTTACATCCTACTTGGAAAGGAACACCTATTTCTAATTCTAATTCAACATAGTATTTTAAATGGACATCTACCTAAGATTACATTCAAGCCTAAAGCGTCGAAATCCAAAACTTAGAACTGACATGGCATGTCCTTTTGGTGTCTATTGGTTTGTCTCTCCATTTAAGAGGCGGGCAAATTGGAAGACACAACCAGCTTGTCTTCCAGACAGGATTCTATTTGAATTCTAAGTCAGTTCTAATGCCAAACAGTGTAGCAGGAATGAAAAGAAAGATGCTAAGATAATTGCAGCTACTCTGGCAATAAACAAGACAGTTCTAACCCTGCAGCGGATGCCTGCATTGCATCTCCTCTATCCATTGCATCTGCTCACAGTCACTCTTTGCTGTCACCACAAATGCGGAAGATGCAAACCACGAAAAAAGAAAGCAAAAACACTGCAACCCCCTAAAGAAAGACACTTTTTTTTAACCCTACTCGTTGATTTGCTTCGCGGCCGCTCGCTCCTGCAGCGTCTTCTCGGGGCTCCACCCGAAGTCATGTTCCCCGTCGTCCACTGCGAGGTCCACCTGCGTCGCTGGGGCTGATCTTCTACCCATGAGTAGAGATAACCGTGCTTGTAACTGGCAGGGAGGGGTTGTCCTCTCAAACCAGGAACTGAAGTTGAGAGAATTTTCTGCCGGCAAAATTACTCTCGCGCGCCCGTTGTCTGAGATGGATTTTTGGGGGGCAAGCCCCAAAAGTGATTTATTGGCTTGATACAAATACTCAATGCGCTCACTTTGATAGGCCCTGTTCGATGCGGAAGGGAAACCACAAGGAAGCCAACCATTTCAAGGAAACAACATTTTGGCTTTTGGAAGGGGAACAAATAAGGATATATACCGACAACCCATTTGGTGTGGCGTAATTATGTTGCTTCAGTCCTATTTTTGGACACACCCAACACTTTCTTAGCAACCATTTTGGGGTCCATCTCATCAGGGTTCA